GTAGATTTTTTTTGGCTTATGTTGCTTTATTTGGGCAGGGTTTGTGTTGCTGTTTTTTAATCTTACTGGTCTTTTGCATGTATAGTATGGTTTCTGAGGGGGTTTTTTTTGTTGTTTTTTGAGTATGTCTGTATGTCGTATGTGTGTGTTTCTGTACTTTTTTCTTTTCTTTTTTTTTTAAATTCTGGTTTGTTCATTTATTTGTTTGTTTTCTAAAGAGAGAAAGAAGGTGGGGTGGGGTTGGTTGGGTCTAGGAGAAGACGGGGAGGGAACATTAGGATTAGAGTTGTAACATGGATTTTCAATTAAAAAAAAGAATTTTCTCTTCTAAATCAGTTGGTTCTATTTTATTGGCTAGATTAAGATTTTAATTGAGGGCTGGGAAGATGGCTCAGTGGGGAAAGGTGCTTGCTGCCAAGCTTCGAGACCTGAGTTCAAGGTCCATCCAGGTCCCACATGATGGAAGCAGAAAGCCAGTTCCCCAAAGTTGTCCTCTGACCTCCCCATATGCATGCCCACATACATATATACACACATAATGGAAAATAAGCGTAATAAAACTTTATTTAGCCGGGAGGTGGTGGCGCATGCCTTTAATCCCAGCACTCGGGAGGCAGAGCCAGGCGGATCTCTGTGAGTTCGAGGCCAGCCTGGGCTACCAAGTGAGTCCCAGGAAAGGCGCAAAGCTACACAGAGAAACCCTGTCTCGAAAAACCAAAAAAAAAAAAAAAAAAAAAAAAACTTTATTTAAAAAAAACATTTTAATTGAAACTATAAAAAGTCTGTACATTAGTTGGGCATGCTAGCTCTCTGCAACATGGGAAAACCTTCCCATCTAAGAACAGTTTTCCTCCACTTATTCAGGCTGGGTATGTCTCCTTGAAGCTTTCAAGTTTCTTTATAAAGGCATGCATTTCTTATTAGATTTGTTCCCATGGTGAATCTTAAAATAATGTTTGATTGCTATTACGACCCTTTTTAAAGCAACACAGAGCACTGTGTCCTTCCCCAGCCTTCTCTGTGCATCAGAAATTTTATCCTGAGTTCTAAAGAGATCTCTTTGTTGCCTCCTGCCTATTTTAACGTGGCCTTCGGAAACTTCCCCAACCTTTCTTGCTCACTTTATTATTATTTTGATCTTGATCTCCTTATGCATTCCAGGCTGGCCTTGAACTCTTGAACCTCCTTGTCTAAGTGCCCGAGCACTGCACTGACAGGCGGACAGCACCAAGTTCTAACCACCAGTGTGAACTCACAGAGCTGCTCCGCTTCCGTGACTGCTGGGCCGGCCCCTCATGGCCTACCTTCTCTGTCCGTTTTTCCAGGTTCACTGTCAAGACAGCACTCATGATTCTTAGTGTGGCTTTGTGCTTCTGAGCAGCTGAGCCTGGGGAGGATGGTGGCCTTTTTAAACTGGGCCTTCAAATTAATACAAGTTGGGTAGCCATTGTCTAACTGCATGGGACTAGATGTGTTTGGGATGTTGAGATGTGTTTGGGATGCTCAATCAGGGAGAGCTTCTGGCTGTGTTTTTATTCTATCTCCACCTACAAAGAATGTTTAGTTTTTAAGATGCAAATGTGTTTGGTTCCTTGCTCTTTGCTATGCTTTCCTTGATTGTTCTGATCAAGGAAACGATCGCAAACAAAATTCCACAGCGGTTGCTCCGTGAGGTCTTCATTCAGCGGCCTTTGAGTCTGATTGCTCACTGAGGACTTGAAATCTGAAGGTTCGTCATGATTGCCTGTCAAGGGTCTCCTTATCGCCCGACCTCTCCCAAGCCTTTCTCTGTAGAGCTGTTGAAAGCAGCAGCAGCAGCGGCAGCTCTCAGAAACACGGTCTGCCTCTGTCTCTCCTGTGTTCAGGAGCCACTGAGCTGTAGGGGCCACACGGGCTTCTTAGTAACCCCTGAGGCTGAGCTGCTCCCTGCAGCTGTGACCCTCCCGCACACCCCCATGCTGTGCCTTACATCTGTGTCTCCCTGACACACTTCCTTTTGTGAGAACTTGACGTGGACATTGCCTCTTAGAAAAATACCTTGATTATTCCAGTACACGTTTATTTTCTCTTTTCTCTCTGCTTTCCCCCATGGACTTCATTCTTCTATCTGTCTTTGTTCATTTTTATTCATTCATTCATTCATTCATTCATTCAGCAGGGTCAGGCTGGATATCTACCAGTGAGCAAAATAGACAAGGTCTCTCCCTGCTCTGTTAAGAGTGCTCACTGTGTGGATACAGCGTCTCAGAGTTCAGGATCCAGCATCTTGTGCATGGAGGTAACCACAGTTCTGAGGTGTTTAGAGGCAGGATAATGGTCGGATCTCAGGACTAGCTGAGAAAACATGAGCCTCAGGTTTGGGTAGAGAACCTGCCTCAAAGGAAGATAAGGAAAGTGATAGAGGAGGATAGCCAATGCCCTCTCTGGCCTCTGTGCATATGTGTGTGTGTCCTCGTGCGCAGGGCCTGATTAGTAGGGTCTGGTGCCCAGGGCCTGCAGAGTAGAGGAGACAGGGTCCAATTAGTAGGGTCTGGTGCCCAGGGCCTGCAGAGTAGAGGAGACAGGGTCCGATTAGTAGGGTCTGGTGCCCAGGGCCTGTGGTGTGGGAGTTGGACTGTTTCTCCTGAGTGCAGGAGGAAACTTTAGGAGAGGAGATCTTAGGCAGGCGAATCACCTCTAGTGGTTGTGACTAAGCTACATCTGTTGGCTCTTTTGCACTTGTCTCTGTATGAGCGTAGTCATTCTCCAAATCCCCAGGACCTAGCACCTATCTGGGAATTTAGCAAATGGATAATGGCTTTCTTTTGATGTGCTCTTTGTAAGTGATAGATCATTAACACCATTTTCTCTTTAGTAAAACCTGATCATTCTGCTGCCCCCCACCCCACCCGGGATGGGGTGTCTGTGAAGAAGGAAGTGTCAACAGGCCTTTTCAAAACTGCAGGACAGTATATTCTAGATGTTGTTTTTAGCCTTTTGAAGCCGGCCACAGAAAAAGAATGAAAGGCTGTGACATGTAGAAAGGGAAAGCTCTAAGTAGCAAGCAGAACCTTCTGATGAGATTGTACCAGCACAGCCACAATGGCCTTTGTTTTAAAAAGGCAGTGGACTAGCGTGCTTATCCTGGGGCGTGTGGGAGAGCAGGGGGTGGGGTGGAAGGTCATCACTGCTTGTGTGTGTGTCTGTGTGTCTGTGTGGTGTATGTGTGTGTGTGTGTGTGGTGTATGTGTGTGTGGGGTGTGTGTGTGTGTGGTGTGTATGTGTGTGTGTGGTATATGTGTGTGTGTGGTGTGTGTGTGTATGTGTGTATGTGTGTGTGTGTGGTGTATGTGTGTATGTGTGTGGTGTGTGTGTGTGTGTGGTGTATGTGTGTGTATGTGTGTGTGTGTGGTGTATGTGTGTGTGGTGTGTGTGTGTGTGTGGTGTATGTGTGTGTGGTGTGTGTGTGGTGTGTGTGTGTGTGTGGTGTGTGTGTGGTGTGTATGTGTGTATGTGTGTGTGTATGTGTGTGTGGTGTATGTGTGTGTGTATGTGTGTGTGGTGTATGTGTGTGTGTGGTGTATGTGTGTGTATGTGTGTGTGTGGTGTATGTGTGTGTATGTGTGTGTGGTGTATGTGTGTGTATGTGTGTGTAGTGTGTGTGTGTATGTGTGTGTGTGTGGTGTATGTGTGTGTGTGGTGTATGTGTGTGTGTGGTGTATGTGTGTGTGTGGTGTATGTGTGTGTGTTTGTGTGGTGTGTGTGTGTGTGTGGTGTGTGTATGGTATGTGTATGTGTGTATGTGTGTGTGTATGTGTGTGTGCATGTGTGTGTGGTGTATGTGTGTGTATGTGTGTGTATGTGTGTATGTGTGTATGTGTGTGTATGTGTGTATGTGTGTGTGTGTGGTGTATGTGTGTGTGGTGTGTGTGTGTATGTGTGTGTATGTGTGTGTGTGGTGTATGTGTATATGTGTGTGTATGTGTGTGGTGTATGTGTGTGTGTGTGTGTGTATGTGTGTGTATGTGTGTATGTGTGTGTGTGGTGTATGTGTGTGTATGTGTGTGTGGTGTATGTGTGTGTGTGTATGTGTGTGTGGTGTATGTGTATGTGTGTGTGTATGTGTGTGTGTATGGTGTGTGTGTGTGTGTGTGTGTGTGTGTGTGTGTGTGTGTGTGTGTGTCTTATGTAGCCCAGGCTGGCCTTAGACTCACTAGGTGGTGGGTGACCTGGAACCCTGATCCATCCGCTTCCACCTCCCTAGTGTAAAGATTATAGGAATGCACCACACCCAGTTTATACAGCTCTACGGATGGAACCCAGGGCCTCTGGCATGTGCCAGGCAAGAACTCCACCACTGAGCCATACCCCTGGACCCTTCTTAGGGTTCTCTCAGCTGAAAGTCAGGACAGTTGTGTATCGTTCTGATCTTTGAAACGTGGAACCTCCGAGATGCCGTTTTTAAGTTACTATAGAAAAATACCACTTTGGATTTTATGATTGCCTTTTTTGGGACATCAGGGTCTAAGAGTAGGCTTTTGCCATCGGTGGTATTTATCTAACTTACAGATATTGTTATTATTATTAAATACTGACTTTCCCCCCTCCCGAGTCTGTTAGAAACTCTAGTTTGTATCTGTCTGGGTGTCCTTCGATAAAATTTTGTTTTGTTTTTGTTTGGGGACGGGGGCCGCTTTTGAACTCACAGTGTAGCTTAGGCTGGCTTTAAACTCCCCACCCTCCTGCCTTAGCCTAAGCCTGAGTGCTGGGGTTAGAGGTGTGGCCAACACGTCTGGCTTAGAGCAAGCTGTGTTTGCAGACCTCTCATGGAGAAGCCAGAGTCTGTCCCATAGACGTGTTCTAATGGCAGAGCGGTCCCAGCCTTCAGAAGGCTTTTTTGTGATTACTGTTTTCTCCACTTTCACTGGGAAATTACCCTTCAGGTAATGGAGGGGTGTAAATGTGGTGTATTAAGTATGTCTGGGCTTTTTTTTAAGAGGTGAAAATATTTTTCTCTACAGAGACTTCAGCAACACAGAAACACTATGTAGTGAACAAAAATATTATTGTGAAACATGCTGCAGCAAACAGGAGGCTCAGAAGAGGTGCGTGAAGGGCTAAGGGGGGTCGGGTGGGGAGGGCTAGGGGGAGGGGGCTAAGGGGGGTTGGGTGGGGGAGGGTTAGGGGGCGGGGCTAAGGGGGGTCGGGGTGGGGGAGGGCTAGGGGGAGGGGCTAAGGGGGGGTCGGGTGGGGAGGGCTAGGGGGAGGGGCTAAGGGAGGGGGGGACGATTAGGGGGAGGGGCTAAGGGAGGGGAGGGGCCAAGGGAGGGGGAGGGGCTAAGGGGTCGGGTGGGGAGGGTTAGGGGGAGGGGGCTAAGGGGGGGGGTCTAGTGGGAAGGGTTAGGAGGAGGGGCTAAGGGAGGGGATAGGGGCTAAGGGAGGGGGGGAAGATTAGGGGGAGGGGCTAAGGGAGGGGGAGGGGCTAAGGGGTCGGGTGGGGAGGGTTAGGGGGGTGCCTCCCGGCCGGAGGGCTCCGTGGGTCTAGGATCTCAGCTTCACAGAGCCTGGGAGTCAGGAACCTTCCTCATCGGGGAAACCTGGATAGGAGCGCTGTCCTGGGGAAGCTGCCGTTTGTCTGTTTGCCCGTTCTTTGAACCCTCACCAAAGACCAAGTGTTACTGTGTGCCAGCTCCTGTGCTGGCACGCAAGAGGGGCTCCGATGTACTCACTAGGCCCTTAGGATTAAAGATAAAAATATAAGGTACTTTGCATCATGCCTAACACACAGTGTACACAGCATTGCTGCTTTTGGCTAGACCTTGGCTCCCTTATTTACAGCCAGAGATTTAAAAATAATCTGTTGTGTGAGGCAAGGACACCTCAGTTGGAGGAACCTGTGTTAAGAAAGTCAGAAAGCCAGGGATACACAAAGAAACACTGTCTCAAAAAAACAAAAAAACCAAACCAAAACAAAAATCCATCTTTTTTTTTTTTAACCAGTACCTGCCAGCTACAGCTCTTGGACATTCTGAACTAATTAGTTGGTCCCCGTTATCTTATCCCAGAAGCCAAGAAACTTGAAAGTTTAATCTTCCTGTGAACGCCTACTTGGGAAAAGTTTATCTTGTTTGTTTTAGAGATTTCATAGATACTCAATGGTGCCTAGCCCCCTCACCCTCCACACTACCTAGGCATATCTTTCCTCATGGCATCAGCATAGAAGGCCAACCCCTGTAACAAGCAGCCAGTAGTCTACGTTAGTGGACATGGACTCTGCCTCAGGCAGCCTGGGTATCTGTGTGTTGTGAAGGTATTTTCTCTTCAACCTTGGAGGTTTCATGTATTGAAATGACATATGCTCCTGGGAAATATGCAGGTTTCATATAATTATTGTTTTTCTACTAATTTATTTTTATGAGGCAGGCAGGGTCTGACTGTGTGGCCCAGGCTGGTCTAGAACATGCCCGCTTCCTATCTCCACCTCCCTCCAAGCATTGGGATTATAAGGCCTGTGCCATCACGTCTGTCTCTAGTGATGCTTTTATTTTATTTTTGTGAAGAGGGCTTTTTACCTTAGTAGATACCTCAGTAAATATCCTCTTAGAATCGGTTCCTTTCAAACAATACATACTAAACTGTGCACAGGTCCGCAGCGTTTGTCACGGCTAATTCAGCACATTCATCAGTGGGGGTAGAGGTGTGGGTTTCAGGAGAAGAACTGGGTGCTTTTCTCACTTTCTCTCACATGTTACCTACCCAAGCTGTTACTGTGTGACAGTTTACCCAGGAATGTTAATTCATGGTCAGGTAGTAGGCGGAAGAACTGTTTATGTAAGGTTGGGACCAGAACAGTTCCTCCAGGGCAGTATTTCTCAAAACCTTCAACGCACTGTTCTATGTGGAGGCTTCAACATGGGAAGAAGCCTTGTTCAAACTTGACCATACCCTCCTACCCCCCCCAATTTACTAATGTAACCAGGACCTTGGAGTTTAGTTTGTGAAAATGGCCCTTAGGTAACGCCTGCACTTTATAACCACTGAGGGTGAGAACCATAGTAGGGGACCCATGTGGCACAGAGAGAGGAGTGGGCATGGACCTGGCACCCGTGGTGTCTGATGCCCAGGTATGTGCCAGAAACTTCCTTCTGCTGGTCCTTAGCACCTGAAGTTCTGTCTGGATCATTTTTGCCTGCTCCTTTTCCCAGCTTCCTTTTCTTAATTTCTCAGCCCTCCTGTCCACGTACTAGGGAGTGGACTGTCCACATACATTCTATTCTGCAGGCAGAGGCACAACGAGAGAATGTCTGCCATGATGACCACATGGTTGTGCTTTTCTCTACTTGGGTTAGCCAAGGATGCAGGATGTACTAGTCTCTGTAGACAAGCACACCCTTTCTGCTAGTGAGAAGTCTGGATACTTGCCGGACCCCTCCTGCTCTTGTTTGTATAGGCAATAGTGTGTTTTCTTCCTCTAATGGGCATTGGCCACAAATGGTTTTCCCCTTTCTCGCTTTCTTAGGATGAGGGTAAAAAAGCTGCCCATGATTCTGGCCCTGCACCTAAAGAGGTTCAAGTACATGGAGCAAGCTGCACAGGTACACACCAAACTGTCTTACCGGGTGGTCTTCCCTCTGGAGCTCCGGCCTCTTCAACACCTCCA